TGTCTGACCTGCGCTTGCCATGAACGTCACCAGTTTCTTCAAATCTTTTGCTCATCCCCTCCACTTGACATTTGGATACATTAAAGATGTCTGCCACCTCAGCAGCAGACTCAGTCTTCAGGGTCTTGATGATCAGCACTTTGGTCTGTGGTTGAATCTTTGGCATGTTGTCAGAGGTCTAGTCGCACCTCATATGAAAGTCTGGTGTGCTGGGGTTATTTCTATACACATCTGGGAATGTGTTAATTACAGTATTTGTCATAGGTTAAACTTTAATCTGCGATTTGTTGCATCATCTGAAGAGACGACAAGACTTTTGTCCTAGCAAAAACAGATGTTATGGGCTTAGCCAAGCTGTGAACATCAGAACACTTCTTGACGGTTTCATTTTGCACCAAATTATTAATGTGAAAGCCCTTGACATTAAAATGGACCATTTATTGTAACAATTGATTGGTTAGAAATAAAGTTATATGCTATTTTTAGTTACTATGTCCTTATGCGACAAGACTTTTGTCAGGCACTGAACATGTACTTGTGAATTTGAGTACTTGAATGATATGGAGAAAAATAAAACTGTCAGATAACTGAATTTTATGTTAAATTCTTTCTTGTCATACCAACATCATAAGAACACTCGTAACATGCTGTCATTCACAGAAACAAGTGACGTGTGGAAAGTGTTCTTTAATATTTGGAACAGTACAATGTATCAAACATAAAACTATTTTTTGCCAACGTTGTCTGCTGTTACATTTCTAGAGTATTCCAATTCCAGGAAACCTCCGGTAACCTCTGCTGTAGATGATCCTCTGTCTGCCATCCCAAGAAAGGAGCAACAGACTCTTCCACGTCATCAATGTCAATGGTACTTACATCAGCTTTATTTCGACTACACTTCGTACCTAGAACTTTGGTTTGAATTTGTATATTCCAGGTTGCACTGTCTACGAAGGGGTAATTCATGGAAGTAGGGTAACAATTTGATTGTATCCCCTCTCTGTCTTCTCAACCTAGAGGGTGTCCCAGCAAGTTTGACATCCCCTACATTAATTTCCCAGTCTCTAGGTTCAAAATGGTTAATATTTATAAGTTATGGTTAACTAATCACGCATATGAGGGGGCCATCTTGAAATACCGCAGCGAACAGTTGCACTGCCATTAATATTGACCCTAATCTTTTCACCCAGTACTGGGAGGTGGGGTAGAATTTGTGGGACACCCTGCATGTACTTCAAAAAATATATCTGCCTGTACGATTTTTCTTTCAGCCAAGCAACGCCATCAGTTGGCCATCAGAATACATCACCAGTGTTAAAGAAGACTGATGCTGCGTTGGACTACCTGAAAGAAGAACATGAGGCAAAGATGAAATTGATTCAATATGAGCAGGAGGCTGCAATGTTACAGGCACAAGCGGCGCAGACGAAGAAAACTGCGTACGACGCTAAAGCAGAGTACTACATGGAAAAACGGAGAAAGTTGTGTATTGATCTGTAATTTGTCAGGAACAAAGTAAATAAAGTAATATCTTACTGAAAATGTTGCCTGATAAACCTTCGTCTGAAAATGTTGCCACGGATGTTGGCTTCAACACGATTTGCCTCTACTGGGGGTTGTTGATGGTCTGCGGGGCCGACATCATGATCGTCATCCTCATCCTCGGGCAGTGGGTCCTGTCGTTGAATAGCAAGGTTGTGCAAACAGGCTGTGGCTACCCCAACTGCCATATTTACCTGCAGCTGACATATATCAATAGGTTAAATCGAGAGATTGCCTGAGAGTCCATTCATTAGTAACGTGAATACTGGATACCTATGTTAGTAGGTCACTCTTTCGAACCAACTCCATAACACGAGCTAGATAAACAGAAGTCCCAATCTATGCCCCACTCTGGGTGGTCTCGTGACCAGCCGCTTCCTTTTGCCCTTAGAAAAATTCCCACCATTCTAAGTACACCCTTCACAATTTGGCAAACATTTCACTGTAACTGTCCCAGCAGCTGCATTAGCCTGAATTTTATTATGGAATGCACATCCTGTGTTACTTAGTTTTCCATACTTCATCCTCCTTCCATTGTAATAAACAGAAGCACAGATTTGGTCAAACTAATTTTTTAATAATCGCAAGTCGCAAAAATGGTCGAGGTATATGATCTTGTAGTTCTATACATACTGAACATCGAAGGCTATTCCTGTCACCAACGCAGTGAAATCGTTTCTACCACACACTAAACGCTTGTTCAATTAGATGCCTCGTTCTCCTTTAAGCTTGGTTATACCTTTCTTCGGCTGGAGTTGCAGGATTGCGAACGGGTGTGAGCATGTACGTTCGGCATGTGTATGCTGGGTCTCCAAGCAGAATTCCTTGGAGTTGTCCACCTTCAAACTGCCTGAAGAGCAGGGATTCCTCGAATATCCTCGAATCATGGGCAGACCCATACCATCTTGATACAACATTCGTGAACTGCATCAGGTGGTTGCAGACAAATTGACAGTTGAGACTGAAATAGCGTTTTCTGTTATAAAAACATGCAGCATTAATGCCTCCTGGGTTATCGATTGCAACGTGGGTGCCGTCAATAGCACCGATCACTCCTGGAAAATTCTCTACGACATGAAATCCTTGAATAACTGCTCGTCTTTCATTCTCTTCCTGGGGAAATCTTATGAAGTGGTTTTTCCTGGCACATATTGCCTCGGTAACAAGATGAACTACTCGACAGCAGGTAGCCTGTGATACACCACACGTGTCACCAACTATTGTTTGGAATGCACCAGATGCATAAAAGTGCAGGGCAATACATAGTTGGTGTACTGGAAGAAGGGCATGGTTTCGTCTTGTGGGATGGTGAATGTCTTCTTCGATTAGGTCTAGAATATAACGGTATGATTCTTTGGAAATTCTGTATCGCTTGACAAATTTCGTGTTGCTATACTCTTCTAAAGGATTCATCCTGTCTTTGAAAACCCTCAATTCGGCACCTTGCCTTTGGTCAGCCATCTCTTCCTGTGCTATTTCAATTATGCGCAAGAGATCCATGGTCATACGTCCAGCCACACAAGCAAGCAAACAGAGAATTGGTAGCTTGTACGCGAGACAAACAAGCCCCCTCGGACGATTAGAATTTCTTTTGTTACATAGACAGGTGTGACTAACTATGTACGTTGGATAAACAGCAGCTGATCTGATCTCTCTTTATGAATTCGGGCCTAAATTTGTCTGCTGGATCATCACCTGTTTATACACTGTTTAGCCAAGTTAACCGTGATCAAGTGAAAAACACCCTGTATGAATTCGGTTTCTTGCACGTTTCAGTCACATGAGAAACCAGTGGTTTTTTTATACACATCATGAGGTACGTGTAACTAATGTGTATAAACGTGAAATGAAGCACATTCCAAACCATACTGTATGTCTAAAACCCGTTTATTGCACATATCAGTGAGGTAACCAACATCTGCACTGCAGCTTAATTTTAGCTAAAACCCTAGCAAGGCTTCAGTGCAGATGTTTGGATTTGGATCATAACGGCAAAATGATGCCTTGGCCGTCACGTCTGTTCTCCAGGATTCAACACGAGTGAAAGCCCAGTCTGTTAAAACTTGGTAATGAGAGAGGAAAATTTATGCATAAATGGATATCAAAAACACTGAATCACTTCTCCGAATCTCACGGTCTTCATTGCTATTACAATAACAGGCCTTACACCTGTGAAGCTGAACATACGTTTTGCAGAGAAGTTGTCAGGGCATTATGCCTGATCTGAAATAAGGTAACTGACAAAAGGTAATCTTTTCACAGCCACTTTTTTTTTAACATAAAATTTTCTCATATGATTTTATAAGCTGCACACAAATCAAAAGAAAAAAAATTCCAGTCTAATAAGCCTCAGCCAATACTCTAGAAAGAGGTGACAATAACAGCGCACAATAACAATGTGCCTATAAGTTTATGATTTATATTTTTGCTTTGGACGGAAATTTAGCCACATAAACAGAAATCAACGGAAGTAGAATCTTGATCTGAACCCTTCAGAGTTATTTACACCCCTTGCAAAGGCAAGGAAGATTTTTTTTTGTTGTTTCTTACAAATATGAATTGAAATACTGTATAATGCATTTCACATTGCTTTCATAGTATATTGCTTATTAGCAGTATTGTAAAGATGCATGACCTTCTTTGCTCCTATTTATAATATTGGAAGCAATCCTGGCTAAAAATTCCATCTAATATGGATTCAAGCTGCTTTAAGAAGGTCCAAGGCATGTTCAGGAAACTTCTAGATGGGGAAAGCTGGTCTCTTGATGATGAAAGCTGGTGGTTTGCTGGGAAAAGCTGGCTGAACTGGTAGAGAATGCCAGAGGTCACACAGGTGGACCAGCTGACAATACAGGCTGGCCAGCTGTTTAACCAGCTTAGTGTGGAGAACACAGCATGACCCAGCTTTCGCTGGTTTTCTCTGGAATTTTTAGCGAGGATGGTGCATACAATAAATAACATCACTTTGAAACCAGTACAACATCTTTGGAAACACCCTAAATGGATTGTCTCCAGGTCCTTTTCATAAGATCCAGACTCTGTGTTGCACTGGTCATCCTTTAGCCAGGAAGAAATTTTTTTTTTTTTTAAATAAATTTGGCATCTCCAATCCCACCCAAATCTAGAATACCCAATTGGTGAACTATGTACAAGACTTGCTCGTATGCGACCCCTTGTTGCCAATTCAGGAGAAAGGGATGGTTCACGACTTATCAATTCTGCTTCTTTACACTCATTGGTTGAATCCTCGCACGTTCAGAACGAGGGCGGAGGATACCCGAACATGAACAAGCTTAGAATCTTCCTGACGAGCGCCCGTCTGGCCAACAGGAGGTGCTTGAGCAACGAAGAAAGCAACCATTATATTTCCCTTCCCGGCAGACCCTTCCCAATTTGCATCCCTGTAGTGCAATGGCTAATTGTGCACTACTCTGAAAAAGCTGCCGACCACTGCCGGTTGGTACGACCGGGGCTCGAACCCGCACCGTGACAGCCACTTCAGTTCTGCAACGCGGTGCTTTAACCAAGTGAGCTATCCGGCACCTCGCAGGAAGCAGTTCTAATTTCTCTTTTCTCTTCAAAAAGTTTTGCAGGAATTTTGCACCAGTATCATGGTAAGCATCCAAACCATACTGCAAGGAACCATGTTACAGTGAAGAGAATTTTAACAAATGTGGTCTTAATCAATAAAACCAACAGGTTTGCTAAATTTGTGCACCAACAACAATGTAAACATCCAAACCATACTGGTAGGAACTGTGCACTAGTCAAGAGAACTTAATGAGCATGGTGAGAGGACTGTCCTGTCGGGTTTGAGTGACTGTGTGGATCATGGCGGCCGGGGTGGAGACGTAACGCGAGCCCTTGAAGAAGCCCTCGATGAAGGCTCGGTTCATTTTAGAGCCTCTGGTGCACAAGGCGCGAAAATTGTTGCTGAGCACCCCCCAGATGTTTCCGGGGTCACCCTCCCGGCCGAAGAAGAGGACAAGGGCGTAACAGTCCTTTCCGACGGACGCGCAGAAGTCCACCATTTTCTCAAGCTTGGTCATGCTCACCAAGTGGGAGCAGGCCAACTCCATGGCTTTGGAAACATCGTCGAGGTCCTCTTTTCCTCGATCTTCAAGATGGAGCACCTGTACAGCCACCTGGGCCAGAGGGGTCCTGGAGGGGGCATCGAGAAGGGCCCACACCCAGTCGGCCCCCAGCAGAACCCTCTGCTCCTTGGTCATGGCGGTGCAGACGAAGGTGTCGGGCATCTTCAGCTGCACGCTCCGGGCGATGTAGGTCATCAGGAAGATCTCCTGAAGGGCGCTGCCGGTGGGCCAGAACTTTTTCTCGGGGTCCTGGAACAAGAGGAACTCCTGGGTCCTGGCAGAGGCCAGCTGCACGCACTCGCTGAAGATGTCTGTGATATCTGCAGGGCTTTGCTTTAGTTTCCGGAAGGAATTTGTGAGCGCGCTGAATCTGGTCTTCATCTGTCCCATGTCTGCAGAACCGCACTACAGTGTGGTCTCCTGTGTTCCCTGAAACCAGAGAAGCACGTGCAGGGTCATGTGACAGCGATGGTGTTTTCAGGAAAAGGGTATAAATTATGGACACTGTTTTTGTAAATAGTATTGGCTATTCAAGGTTACTCAGTTATAAGAACTAACAGTGATCAAAGGCATGACTACAATTTCATTACATCTGTCCTTTGCCACATGGCAACAGGCTGTGGCATAATTCAGCAGAAACAACAATCCACCCTTTACATGTTTTTTTAAGTTCATGTAACATAATAGAAGTTTGTCTGGCATATTATAGAAAACTAACTGCAGTAACTGATTATTTATTTGTCAGAAATCCAACCAAAATGTATGCTTGATAAACTTTCATCAGATAATGTGCTATATTTCAAGCTAAAACTAATTTCATCTAATATACTGAAAAAAGACCTACATGAAGACTTACAATTGAGATATTTTGACAGAGGCAAAAATCATGGCCATAAACTGGGTGCTTCATTTTCACATTTAAACTGCACCAGAAAAGGACAGTGAACAAGAAAACGGGAATTCAAACCAAATTCCAGTTTTGACTACATGCATGTCCCAGTTGACACACTGAGGAACAGCTATGCAATAGTTCTCATGTCTCCCAATTTGGGAAGAGAAATTTTGAAAACAAAACTAAATGTGCTATTATTGTTTTGATGAATACAATTTTCAGATATAGTGACTCTAAAATGAAAGTATTTAACTCTTCTACTATGATCAAAAATGCTAAAAATGCCCCTCCAGGAGAAAAATATGATCAAAAGTTCATCAAAAAGTTGAAAAACTCACCAAACGCAGCTTGCTTTCTTTTTCAGGCTGGTCATAGCTTCTGCCACTGCAGTTACTTACTGTGACATTTGTGCTTGTCCGAAAAAAATAAAACTGGTAACTCCTTTTAAAAAGCTGAGTCATGTTTTGAGGATTATATGTTTGACTTTCAAACTGCCTCTTTTATTCAAAACGAGGTGTCTGTAAACTCTGGGATATTCACGGGTTTCTCAGAGCTTTTGCAAATACAATACGGACCATTTAAATCTGCAGGTCACAAAACCTGTTCCCAGCTTACTGTAGACAAAGAAAAAAAAATGCTCAAAATGGCTATTTGTGTTTGTTTTTGAGGTGAAGTGGGTGGAATTGTGTGACCATGTTTGTGTACAATGGCATTATAACAAAGGCTTCCTCAACCAAAATAAAGAGTAGTGGGCAATATTATGGGCAGCGTGTTAGCAACAAAAGGATACCTTGCTGAACTGAAAACTGAGATATAAATGCAGAATACATCAATTTTAAATAAATTAATTGAAATAAATGATGCAATCATGGCACAACAAATTGCCAAGCTATACTTGTATCGATTGCAATTAACAGTTTTCACATGATTTGGCCATCAGAAATACGACTATAAGACAAAAAAAATCCTCTGTATTGACATCTCTTCACAGCTTTTAAAATGCATTCAAACTCAATAACTTGTATGATTAGTTTTTTTTTTCTTTCCGTGGAACTAAACCAACTGGTAGCAATTATCCACGAAAGGGAAGACCAACATGTCAAGTTGAATCAAAGTCATCATCTACGTCTGAGAGACGAGCTGGGAAGCTTTCGCTATAACCTGGCTGATATTTGCAAGATTCGAAATCGCTGTTTTTTTGTTTCAACAGTCTTTGGAATGAAGGAGATTAGCGGTTGTAGTCCTCAGTCACGACGGCATGTTTCATTTACAAGACTGTTTTCAGAGTGGCGCCATTTTGTCCCATCCGAGTTTCTTCAGTGTTTCGCCATGGGTTAGCATTCGCTGCAAGTGAGGGGCATGCAGTTAGTAAGGCGGGGCTCCAGCAGAGCTTCAAATCCCTAGTTCTGAAAATTAAGCCTTAGTATTTCATTCTGGGGTATGTTTCCCAAAAGCTTAGTTACTAACTATGCTAGCAACTTACATACTTCTCTGAACGTGACTCTGGTTCAAACTATGTAAGCTGCTAACTGTTAGCAGCTATGCTTTTGGGAAACCTACCCTTCATTAGCTGGAGTTGCTTACTAGCTCAAATCTCCAGCTAGACGTAGAACTAATGAGTGAAATCTGGCTGAGTCAAGGTGCGAAACGAGCACTAGGGCATGACTTATTTTCTGTCCCCAGGATTTTCCACCTTAGCTTAATAATTAGCAGGCTAATTTTCCATTAGTAGTACAGAAGCATGAGGAAACATAATTTTTTACTAAAATTTACTTGCACTAGCCAACTGTTCACCTCAGTTTAATTCATGTTGAGAAGCAGGTTCTGCAAAAGGTGATGATATTGACGATAAAACTGAATGACATATTTGATTCATGCAAAAATTATGAAATATATGGGTGACAAGCTATGAAATCCTATGGATGCTGTTAGATACGAGTGATGATGTGTTTGGGCGTACTCACTGTGAGGCTATTTATCCCATCTGAGAGAGCCTCTATCTGATGAACTGCTCCTTCTATTAACACCACCTGAAATGTCATGGCTGCCATTATAATTTCATTACTGTTCACACTCATCCGAAGATCAAACAGATCAACATCTTTCTTGAGGCAGCAAAAGAGGGCATTGGTGTGGCATGTTTTGTCCTGAAATGGCTTCAAAAGGGCCATCGTACATGCTCAGGATTTTACAAAGTAGCAGTAAATGATTTATGAAATTATGACCAATAAATTATGAGGCTGATACACATATTTTGATGCCCAATGCCATGAGTATAATGAAATATGAGTTAACTCAATGTACTCACTAATAAGGTTAAAAACACATGTGGATTCAATACAGTCAAGCGTTTCTTTCAACGCTCAGCGTATTAGCTGTGTGATGTTTCACAAATCCCTTGCTGCCAAGGGACTCTTCTGCTCAGCCTCATTTGGGTCAGCTTTAACCAATCACAGAGCTTAGTAATGAACAGAATTCTGGGATATCCATGCATGACGCACCATCACTGTTTAAAAGAGCACATTCCACCCCACAAACATAAAAATAGTACAGCTTCAGGTAAAAACAGGATGGTAGCTGATTGGGTGATGACGTGCATGATATCTGAGCTATCGTCCATGGTACACTGCACTCTACTATCCATGACAATGCGCTCTCCCATTGCTTCTCAGTTGAGGCTTCAATGGACTACTTGAATCCTTCGATTCAATTGCTGATTCTAAAGCTAGCAGCACAGACAAAAATTGAGTATTTTATTGAAGTAATGCAATTTCTACATCGCGCATGCACTAAATTCAAAATTAAATAACAGAATAAGAAAACACCATCGAGTGCTCATTATATAAGGTTTATTAACCATATACCCAGAAATTTTTTTTTTAGAAAACACAATAATTCTTACAGTATCATCAAAGCAAAATAATATGATTATATAAAATAATTGCAGATTCACAAACTGCATATGTTCTTTCAATTTTTTGCCCAAGTGAAACCTGAACTTCACAATAACCAATCAACGAATGTAAATTTTGCAAGTGCAGGTCTTTTCCCCTGTTGTGCAAATATTGCACAAGCATTAAAGATAACTGTACATAGAGTGTACAAATATGAATTAAATTTATATTTTACAGATCGGGATTTACAAAAAACATATGTACAATCGGCTGATTTGCCATTTGACACAGTATGCATAGTAACATGATCAGTATCCATAAAATTCATGAGAGAGGTGTCATGAGTCCGTCCTAAAATGTCAACCTGACAGGAGACAGAAGGAACACTGACATCCATGCATATCCATCCATGAACACCATTTTCATGCGTCCATGAATGTCACCGGTGTATCCAATGATGCAATGTAAAGAGAGGGGGTTGGACTTAGGGGCAAGGTGGGAAGGGGCGGGTTACAGGCCGCAGGCTCATCAGCGATTGGTCGATGCAGGCTGACTTGCGCTCTTTGGCCCCACCTGGTCCTTTTTCTCGCGCTCCTTGTCAATAATAGGGCTCAGGCCCCTAAACCCTGAGAAGGGCTGGATGGCCCCATTTACAGCCAGAGAG